CATTGTTACTTTGGTCTTTTTTTTTAAAAATATATATATTTTAAATTAATAATGTGTATGTGAAATATCCCGTCAAGAGACGAATACCACTGCTATGCAATCCTCGCTGGTGACCAAGTATTACTATTTTTGTAAAAATACACAGACTCTTTCTCCTCCTCCTCTCCCATTTACGCCCTCATTCCACCTCCCCTTTTCTCCTCACCGCACTCCACTCCGACGTGAGTCCGCCGCGCGCATATCCGGAACCACTAAAAAGTAACCATGCAGCCTACTCACGCCCCGTAGCATAAAATCCATAAGCCTTATGCATAAAACAATAAAAACACTTTTATTTAGTATTCCCATGGAAGGATACGACAAATGGAATGCTATCCTTGTCATTGCGTTTATCTATTCCCATCTAATGCAGGACCTTACATGAACCCTGTGGTACAAGGCACTAAGCATAAGGGGTTAGAAGTCTCCGACTTTGGACCAACTTAACGCAAGTCAGTCAAATCTAATCAATGACAGCAGAAGAATACACAGTCTCCACAAGACAATCCACTCCAAATGTCATTTGGGTAATCAACTGAGTGACTATCCCTGCATTTTGCAATGAAGGAAGCACATATCTGTACTGCTCACATACAAAGTAGTGTAAGGGTTCACAAGCCTACTCTAGTTTGTCCCCAAATGCCACTTGTCAGGCCACATATGTGGCATGATTATATCGTGAGCTGAATAAAGTAGCGAACATTGTGACCTCTTCGAGTGCAGGAAGGCCTACACGAATGGATTTTTAAGTATTACTATTTTCAAAGGGCAACTCAGTGGAGCAAATTCTCCTCAACTGCCTTTTCACATAATGAAACGATTCAGCTTCAAAAGTGGGTGCAAGTTTGCACATTTTTTCATTGCATCGCCTAAGTGGCTATCTTGAGAAGGCTAAGAGCCTATGAAGCATGCAAGACAAGTTGAAGTGTTTTCATCAGTAATGCTAAATAGTGACAAGTTCGTTACCATACTGCCAAGAGTCGAACTTGTTGAAGGTTGCATACACGGACGACCAAACTGTTATGGTAATTAGAAAACCTTATTTCTTGTCTTCTGGAGAAGACAAGTATGTAAGCACAAAGGAAGGTACAGAAAGTGCAACTCCACCCTTTCCTCCAACCCTTCACCTGGGCACCGCCTTTCTACACTGCATAATTAACGCCTGATTGACCAAATATTCTCACGGTCCCCGCGAGTGTTTTGCCAGTCTGAAATAAACCAGCACGACTTCTCTGCGTGTAATTAACTCAAATTAGAAAACCGTTGCGGATGGACACAGCAATTGAAAATAAGTACTGGTCGCTTTTGTAGAGATAACCGCTGCTTGTATTTATTCTCAGGTTTCCCAATTCCATTAGCAAACTTATTTTAAACTCACAATCAAACGTCTTTGCCTAGTTTTCTTCAAGGCAAATGTAATATAACAGAAACCGCCCAACACCTCCCACCGAGTACTTAGGGGAGATGGAGCGCATAACTGGACAAATGCATGTGTGATGGAGTCTCGCGACCACGCAAAATAATCGCATTTCCAGCCTTGCAGGACTTAGTGCAAAAAGTAACTCCGCTCAGACACCTGAATAAACTATTCGCGACAAGGTTCTATTGATGTCTGGGTGTCAGACCTTACATCATTTTTGCTGACCTCGGCGTACTCTAATCGGGCTTTCATCTGTGAAGTTCACCTGTTTGCGGTGTCCAGATCACGAATCACAGCTAAACTGCACCAAAAAGCGTGGTGCTTTCCATTCGGATAAAAGCTCTAACTGTCACACCGTTGAAGTGCTTCGGATGCTACACCAACAGCACAGGTCATCGCTCCGCCTAGCCTTGTATTCGACACTGAGCCGATTGAAGTAATTGGTTAAGAACAAGGCGAGCGCTTTCCGGGTAATGAACGAGTTAAAAGCGTGAGTTCAATATTGGACAGGCCTCAGCCCTCTTACCTGCTGTCAAATCACCCTGGTGGTGAGGAACATAACGCTCAAGGAACGTTACAACTTTGCTTTAACTTAATACTTTGGAGACTAGCATCCCTAATGGCTCATTTGAAAAAAAAAGCGAATAGTTACTTAACAGGTCCTACCTGAGTGAAAGGATATCCCACGTATTCATTGTATGATACATTAACCGTCGAATTTTTCTCTGAGGGAAAGTTGAAAACAGGTGCATTATCGTTTATATCGAGCAGGTGAACAATAATACGAGCTCTCGAACTTCTTTTCGGAGTTCCGCCATCTTCTGCCACAATGAAAAAAGAGTGAAAAGAGATTGTTTGGGACCCACTGTCGGAGTACTCCATATGCTGCGTCGCTGCTTCTGCATGCAACTCACCATCGGTGAAAATGCTGACCTCGTATCCGTTCTTTAGTGGATTAAATCGTGACTCCAAACGATACGGCAATGATGTCGTTTGTTCGTGTCTCCAGTCGTAGTGATGTAAACTTTCACTTGAGGTAACTGGATAATGTGAAGGCAAGTCATTTGTCAGGATTCTAAAGCTCAATTCCCGATTGATCCCCGAGTCTGCATCAGTGATATCGACAGTCCCGATAAGAGTATTCCTCTTTACCCCTTCAGTAATCATAAATTCAAGATCTGACAGGGCGAAAACAGGTGGTTCGTCATTGAAGTCTAATACATGAATAGTTACAGTAATAGATGACGATAGCTGTGGTATCCCAGAATCTTTGGCGACAATCAAAAACTGATGCCGATCATTTGTTTCGCGATCCAACTTCCCGTTTGAGCTAAAAACACCGGTCTTGGGATCTATCGTGAAAAAGTTCTGAACATTTGACTGAATTAAATCATACGTGATCTCAGCGTTGACGCCTTCGTCCGGGTCATGAGCCAGAACACGACCAATCATATAGTCGCTATTTTGTCTAGATGGATCGCTATCTTCAGTAACGCTCAGTTCAAGGTAGTCCTGATCAAAGACTGGGGAATTATCATTGACATCTCTAATCTGTACGGTAAGATTTGTCGATGAATTTCTTGAAGGTACTCCAAAATCATGGCAAAATATTGCAAGAGTCATTGTAAGCCGTTCTTCTCTATCAAAATTATGAATTGCCGACAGTTTAAACAAAGTCTCTCTGCCTTCCTCTGTCATGCTGTCACCAGAAGCCATTTTGACAAGACGAAAGAAATTAGTGACGTTATCAGCAAGAGTGCATTCTACCTTTCCATTATCGCCAGAATCGCCATCCGTCACACTTACTACACCAAAATCAGATGGCAAGAGGACGGTGTTCTCCTCAATTGACAATTCCCTTCCACCATTGGGTGCGTAAAAGGATATAGCAGGAGCCTCGTCATTAACATCAATAACGTCAACAACAATCCGAGAAGTGTCATGCATTGTTGTTTCCACTTGAATATCTCTTGAAAATTCCAGTTGAGGTTTCCCGTTGTTGGATTTCGTAATAATCTCAGCATCAGTCGGATTTCGAACTATCACAGAGAATTCAAATTTTCTTTTTTTCCTATACGAGAGGCGCTGTTTTAAGAACACTGAGCCATTGTATGGATGAACACCAAAATAAGAAGTCACATCTCCTGGGGTGTAGGTTCCGAGGGAGAAAATAAGTTTGCTGAATACTGGACCCTTGTCCTGATCGGTAGCCTGGAGCTGATGCACCAAGGAGCCAATCGGGGCGTTTTCATTTAAGCTCAAATGGACAAGTTTCTTTGCAAATCTCGGAGGATTGTCATTTACGTCAATGACCTGGATGGTCAGCTGGAGGCTACAGGTGGATATGCTCCTTCTACTGGCATCACTGGCCGTGACCACCAACTTATGGATCGACAAAGCTTCATAATCCAATTTCCTTGTTAGCAACAGATGCAAGGTAACTGGTTTGTTGGCAAAACTCGTCTCACTGACGTGAAGATCGAAGTAGCGAGCACTGTCAATGTCATCAGCAGATTTGAGTGCAATGCTTCGGGGATCAATACGATTCATTATTGCAGCATCGGGGTCAGAAGGAATGTACAAGGGAATTCGATAATTAGGATCCACAGAAGTGTCTTCCGGAATGCGCACTGTCTGCTTATCTGAGGGCTCAAATTTACACCTGTTATCATTCACATCGAGAATATTGACAATGACCTGAACCACTTCCAAGATCTCTGAGGTGCCCTCGTGAAGGATGCTGATGGTAAACCGGAGTTGACACTGACCTTCCGGACTCGATAATGAGTGAGGCGCAGTATGTGCATTTTCAGAGGGACAAAGGGACTCTCGATCTATCACTTGAGCCAATGTGATGCGTCCATCCTGAGGTGTGACTCGAAAGTACTGTGAGTCTCCCTTTTGTATAATCTGGAAGTTCATTCGATCTTTGTAATTTCTTAAGCGGCCTGACAACTTTGGAAGGATTATTCCAACAAGACTACCGGATTTTTCCTCCTCCTTCACACTGAATAAAATTCTTTCAACAGCGGTTACACAGAATACAGACACTAATAGGATGACATAGGAACCCATCATGGTGCAGGACTGCAGATCTTGGTTATAAGCTACTCTCCTTGAAGTTCGACATTGCGTGATTCAATGCTTCGAAGATGCAAAACGCAAACTGAGAGGGAGGCGTGCATGCTAGATAAGAGACAACGAAACAGCATTCCTATTCTTTTTCACAAGTAAATCCGTCACACACTACAATTAAATATCATCATGTTCGTTTTGGCCTTGCATTGTTGATGAATTATGCAGTCGTTCCAGCATTAAATACAGTGATACATGGGAATAGTCTTGATTCTTCATGACTTTCGAAGGCCTATCATTCAGTGCTCGCTTTATTAACAACTGAGGAAAATAACTTTTAATGAAGTATGGTCTAGACTTGGCTATAACACATGGCAAATGTAATATAGACAAATGTTCGATAAAATCGCTGTACTTGGGGCATGGATCAAACTACAAGTTGTCCCCTTTCGCTCTAAAACTTGAAGAGACACGAACCTCTGATCGGTTCCAGTAATTAAAGTAGTGATAGGATTTTTCGGACAAAGGTTTCGGGGATCTGTAAGAAGTACACAGAAGGGACAATCCATTGTAAAATATTTTGGCATGCGATAAGTTAAAGCTCAGTTCGAGTCCCATACCTCCGTCAAGTACAACAGCCACACCACCCAACCACAATACGAAATAGGAAAGTGTCTGAAGCACTTTAAATGCACCATTTTTCAATGGCACCCTTAAACAAGGCATTCCGTTCAAAGCAAAAAATGTGCAACTCCACTGACCACCGCAACAACAAGATGGGACGAAGCACTGAATAAGCGGAAGTTTTATACTCTTCAGATTTTTCGGTGGAAGTCTAGTGCCTGGGTAATCTGTGCAGTCACTAATGTGTGGCGGCTCACATTCACATCCAGTAGAAAACGGTTCGATTGGACCTGTTTTTTAAACTAATTTTGTTAAGCCGGGTACTGAGTAGACTATAGTTGGTAAACA